TAATAAAACATGACAATCAGAAAACAATAACTTGAACTCAGCTAGAAGGCATAACTTCTCGTTTTCCCTATATTTTTCGGAGTAAAAATAAAGAAACATAACATATTTGTATCTTTAAATCGATATTCTTCATTGACTGCAAACAAAGATACCTTTGCTAATGGATTTCAAACGTTCCATCAAGATTGTAACTCTGACAAAACACTTATGTCTTAGTCTTTTTATATCAAAGAAAAAATACGTAGGAAACTTCACCCATTCCATCAAAAATATAATGTCCTTATACAATTTAATTGTAGTTTGACAGTGCATTCGATATTATTATAGCTATATCACCCTAATAAAATAAAATTTTTCATGAACAATTTTAACAAATAATGCATGACTTTAACTTATTTTGAAATCACCATCAATTTTATAGGCTTGCTACTATTTATTTTGTCATAATAAAAATAAAAAACAAAATTTTTTATCATACTATTGTTTATTGTTATTTATGAATGTTTTCACTTTCTTTATAAATTTTTATTAAACCTATTTAAATTTATTCGATACATGGGGTTTTTTTTTGACCCTTTGAATTTCAAATTTTGTTAAAATTAATCGAAATTACAAAAATTATTCTGTAATTAAAAATGTATAAAATATTTGATTTTTATATCTAAGGCTTAAAAATTAAATACAAAAGAAGTTTATTCTTTAACCTAAAATTCTAAATGATATTTTAGCACTTTCTTTTTATAGATATTGTATGTTCAAATTTGGACGAAATGAAATATTTAAATGAAAACACCGATCTTCGACAGCTTAGGATTTACTTAAAAGTACATAAAACTATAAAAATAATAATAAAGTATGTAAATATATAATATTACAATAATTTAATATTAAAAATACAATCAATGCATTAAATTAGATAAAAATTAAATTAACAAACCGTAATACTATAATATTAAAATAAATTACTTTAATAGTGATATCAAAAAAAATATCATCATATTAATATATTGATATACTAAATTTATATTACATTCTTATATTTAATTCTCCTTTTTTATTTTTTATTATGTATTAGTCATTATGTAACTGCTGATTGATAACTTATTATTTTATGAAACTTATTTTACCAAACAATTTTTCTAACATACAAAACAAAATTATTAAATTTAAATCCAATGTTTATAAATAATAAAAAACACCGGCATTTTATTATTTTAATAATTAACAATTATAGATACTATAAGGTATAATACTCGTAATTTTAGAATCAAATACACATACTAAAACTAAATAGCATAGCTGAAATATTATCATTAATATGGAAGTAATATGATACTAAATTATTATTGAAACATATCTACATACTTATTAAATAGATTTTAATATTATTTAAATATGTTAGGTTTAACGTAAACCTAATTTTACGTTATAACTTATTTCCTAATTATGTATAATTTCATTAGATTTATATGCATAAGTTTTAATTAAAAAAAAACAATAAAAACTTTAATAGAATTAATTGCTATATTTTTATAATTTTTTCTGAACTATTATTATTTATACGAATGTTTACAGACAACAATTTTGAATTAAGAATAATTGGGCAAATTAAACTTTTTTCACAATTTAAAATTTGTCTTATTCAACTTTGTTTACATACTAATATACTATAATTTATTAGTGTGGTATTATATTACGCCCACCTTATCTAAGCAATTACTCTTGTGACCAAAATTCTTATGATATATTTTAAGAATGAATTAATTTAATTATCATATCAAAACCATCAAATAGTAAAACTGGTAATTCAAATATTAAGTACGCCTCTATCTCAAAAAATTGAAGGTTAAGAAATAGTTTGTTTTTATAAATGATTCATACAAAGTAAGCATTTTCAATCAGTCTATAATCTATATAAATACAGATTACCTTTTAATAGTCAATAGACAAGTTTTAAAATGCTTGCAGAATACAATTAAAAATAAAAGAATTCACTATAAAAACAAAATTTAAAGCAAAGGATTTTTTAAATATATATAAAATTATATTCATAATGCATATTAAAACGTTAATAGTATTCTAAGCTCGACTGCAATATAATTAAAAGTACAGGCATGATTTTCATAATGAATAATAAAACTGTTTGTTAAAATAAATAGATAATTTTACTAAACCATATTGTAAACAATTGTTTGTATTTGTCTTCCATTTTAAAATAAAAATAAAATTATAAATATACGAATATGAGTAATATAATTTATAATTTTATAGAATATAGAGTAATATATAATAAAACGAATATTTATAAATGATTATTTAGTTTATCAGTTAAGTGGAATATAAAATTTTTGACTGAAAAATGTGTTTTATATATGTAGTAAAGCTAAAAACTACTGGAATGGTGGTAACTCATACACCACGTAAAGTAAATATGGGAAAACTCGCCTACCTCGTGTTATCATTACAAGTACACTAAATAACCATATTTATTTTATATATTATAGGATCAGTTTGTATTTATACGTCTTAACAGTTTGCAACCGCATTTTATTCAATAGAATGTATATAATGGATAAATATGAATGGATTCTAGTTCTTCATTATAAATAATTATGCATGAAGTTACGAATCTAATATTAATTTAAAAAACAATTTAAAATTTACTAACTGACAATAGTAAGTGTCGAGAGTACCTTGTCATGAGTATCTATTAAAGAATGTGTTAAATTTTAACTCAATAATAAATTATTGTATACGATGAAAAATATTTCTAAAAAACGATGGTTTAATTGTTTAATTACCACTGGTTATCAAAAAAAATATTTTAACAATAATATTAAAATTTTAATAAATATTAGAAAATTGTCTTCGACTATTTTAAAAATTACCAAGAGTTTTCAATTTTGACCTTCCAAAAGTACTAACTAGATACAATTTGCTACCAGAAACCTCTTTCGGAGTTGATGATAGGAGCATTTTTTTCACTAGAAAAAGTATTTTCAGACACATTAAAAAAATACATAAAAACCCACATTAATGTAAAATCAATACGTTCTTCGCTTTGTTCAGTATGTCACCTTACAAATCTTACGTTTTTATTTTTGTTTTTTTAACTATTTATCAAATTAATCCAATATAAAAATTAAAATGTAACATATTTTCATAATACGAAATTTTCTGAAAATAATAAAAATATACATTAATAATATTTTAAATAATTTTAAATAGTTTTTAAGCTGTTTAATGAATTGAGCTTGTCAAAAAAAAAAAATAATAAATAAATAAATAAATCGTGTACTTTTCATAGAGATTTTAGTTGAATCGTTAGATTATAAATTGTTAATATACTGAATAATATCTGAGCATCAAACTATGCAAAATGTACAACCCATTTTAAAATTTTTTTTAAATTTTGGCAATCCACAATAATATCAATGATCTTAATCTTTTTTTTCTGTTTTGTGAATCAATAATTGTTTATGAAAAACGATTGAAAATGTATTGTTTAAAATAAAACACAACCCCACAATTGGAGAACTTTTAATTTAGATAGTTGTTTAATTTCGATAAAAAAATATATAATTAATGTCCAACATAAGTTTTATGGAATATTTACTACGTTAAATTGAATTCATTGAAACCTTCATGATATGTAATCTATTTAAAAGATGCTTATTTTGCTTATGTAAGTTAATTTACAAAAAAAAAGTGGATTACAATATCTCTAACATTAGTTCTTAAATATTTTATACGTTTACCTATGGTTTATCAATGTTTAAAACTACAAATATTTAATTTATATTATGATTTATACATACTTTTTTTTTATTTTTTTTCTTTATAACAAACCTCTAAATTATATTTTATGATTGTATTGTATTTTCAATGTATTATTATAATAATTTAATATTTTCTACAATATTAATTTCGTTAATAATTATTATTATAATGTAACTGACATAAGGCTAACATCTGGAACAAATGCTGTCGCCTGTCATTACAGTTATGACTATCTTGTGTATAAACTAAAATCTACGATTATTTGAGTTTATTCTTAAAAGTTAATAATGAAGAAAATAATTAATGGTTTACACCTCTTGTAACAATAAGCTATTACAAGTTGTGTTCGTGACAACATTTATATAATTAAGTATCATACTATATTTTTACTTAATAAAATTAGGTGAAAAATAAAAGTAAAATGTATTATTAAATATTTAGACACTTAAACCATCGACATCACTCCATGTATAGTATTATATTTTTCAATATATTATGTATATGTAATGATTATCTAAATATTGTTAAGAATCTAAAACTGTAAAGAACTTTTTTTTACCTCTTAATCGAGGAATTTTTATAATTTTATCGATTAAGCTTTGTTTAACATTTTTTTAATATTTTGAAATTTACATTTTAATATTGTTAAACAAATAAAGAATAATGGTGTATAAACTATTAAATTTTAACGAAGTAAAATAGGTAGCTTATTTATTGAGGTGAGTTAATGTATTTATAGAATGGCATACATTATTACTAAAACAATTTTTTTGAAAGTATTTTGATAATTAGTTATATTATTAATGCATCTACATTTACGCAGACGAAAAAGGTTTTTAAAGGCCAATACAATTTTGAAGTATATATTTTGCGTGGTGTATCAAGAAAATTAAGTATTTTATAAAAATCACTATTTCGATTTTACGACAGCTATAATATAACTTAAAAACACATCATAGTAAATTACGTTTCTGAACACATGTCTACATAAAAAAAAAACTTTCGGATCTAAGGAGTCTTCGTCCATAAGATCTTTAATGTACTATTATGGTGGCATGGTACTAATTCCTCTATATTATTGTAATCAATAGTTGCATCATACATAATTTGTAATATGCATCATTTATTAATTTATTTTTACAATGTATTTCGAAAGCTTTCAAAAAACCATGTCGAAATTTCTCCAAATTTTATTTGTATACATATTTGTTTGCACTTACTTTTTCTTTTATTTCATAAAATTCTTTTTCCTCCTCAATTGTTGCGAAGACGATCGGCATACGTTTACGGTTTTAATATAATATAAATCGTATTCGCGGTGTACGTACGAGAGTAGGCGTACTACGTGAACCACCAGTGATCGCAGGTATACGGAGATCAACGATCACGCACTACACAATTTGATGCGTTGATGGCGAGCGACGTGGAAAACTTTCGATCGGAGCGCGCGCGTGTCACGGGTGCACGGTTCGGAGGCCGGTGCGTAAATGTCGTGGCTGCTGCCGGCGGCGTCGTCGTCGTCGTCAGACTACCTGTTGGGGTGCCTAAAGTATAATACTATACTCGGTTGTGGCCTGTGGGTCAGTCGTGCCAACGCCGACCGCACCGCCACCGTAGGGTATAAAATAATGTTTCATCTCTTCAATAAATTCGTGTTTTACCGTATAGCCGGGTCACTGTGTGTGTGTACTGTAATCGAACGAAATATTGATGAATTATTATGGTTACCTAAGAATAATTATAAATAATTATAAAAACATATTGTTCGTTTTTTGTAACAGTTCGGTTCAGTATCAAATAAAATGATTTAATTTGATTTCGACCTGGTCCGGTTCGTGTATAAGACCGGTAACGGTAACGGTCCGGTCTTTGGTTTTGGTTAGGCAGTTACGGTCTACAATAATTCTAATTTTTATTATTTTCAATCAATATTGTTTAGAAAATACGAAGTACATTACAACATTTTATTATTATTTATATGGTTATAAATAATTATATTTTAATTATTGTCTATCTATTTCTGTTTTATCAATCAAAACCTGCAGTTGTAATCAACAGCAACAATCAAAATGGTGTATAAATATATAATCGTATTATAAATTTATAACGTTATGTAGAACTGTAAATTTTCATGAACTAGATATACCTATACTATAGAAAATAATATCTTTAAAATCTTATCTTCAAAGTAATAAAATATTATAAAATTTTTCCAAAAAATATCTGTAAATAAATATTTTACGTAAAGATATTAATTTGTGTGGTCCGATTTGGTTTTTATTTCAATTAGTATCGATTCAGTTCGGTCTGTCAACTGTTTAAAAAATTAAATGGTCTGTTCCGGATAGCTCAACGTTCTTAGCAACAGCAATGAGTTAGATTAGATTTAAACTATCAAATCATAATTTAGTCTGGTTTAGTTTCGATCTAAGCTCTGTTTAACGGGAATCAATTAAGTGTTCGGATGAATTGTTTACGAATGAAGAGTGTTTGAAAAAACCTGTTCGAATGGATTGTGTTTAAGTGGATTTGTGTTCGAATAGTATTATGTACGAATGTTACATTTTCCCAAAGGTGGGCATTAACTAGTTAAAAACTTAAATAACTTGGCTTTTTGCAGTTAATATAGAAATTTTTTTAATAAAATTATGAATTATAAATTGTATTGTTTTAATGTTTTATGACATACAATAGTTATATTATATTAAAAAAATAATATTTGTTAAATACGTTAAAGTATTAATTAGAGATGTGTATAATTTAAATTAATAAATAATATATCATGTAACATAAAAGGCTATTTACACTGTACAATGTACATTATGATAAAAATTCAATAAAATTGTTTTTTATTTTTTAATTTAGTAAATTAGAAAAACATAATCATTAGTCATGTGATTTACATATTAATTAATTAAAAAAAAATATAGATTAACTTTTTTTGAACTGAGTTAAGTTAATACTTTTTTATATGATAAATTTTAACTTATAAGTTAAATAATGTGTTAATGGTTAACTTCTAACTTATCGGTCTTGTGCTCTTATAACTTAACTTGAATTAGAGTTAAATAAAAATGTTCGAATAATTGAAAAAATATTCGAAAATTCAAACTTTCTAACAGATTACATTCGAACACTTTTAATTCGTACACATAACTTTCGAACAAACTGGTCCGGTCCAGTCCACAAAAACACGGACCGTGCAGAGCACTATAGTGAGCAGATTTGAACTTTTTCACAAAATTTCTCTTGAGATTTACTTTTCTGGATTTTTAATTTTATCCTAAAAAATTATATGAATAAGTGGAAATTAATCTTAATCTTTATATAAATAGAAATTAAAAAATCGAAAATTTGAGGGAGTTGAGATCATAATAATATTCAATTACAATCGCGAGGTGGATCTAATGCCAAGCTACTATTTCGATTTTTTATATTTTTGATTTGACATAGATAAAAAATGTAAAAAGTTTTTACAGCTGGTTATTATTATTATATTTTAAACAAAATTTAATAACTTTTTTTTATATATCAGATTTATAAAATTTTAGAAAATGTATGCAATATGCATGCATGCATTTTATTATTTGTGACTTGATACAGTTTAACAAAAAAAACTCTTTGATACCTATTAACATTTTTCAGCTAATTGAAATATTCCACAAAATAGTTTTAAAACGACAACAGCAGAATAATAATAACCGTCATATGTTATTGTTTTATTCAGTCAAATGGCTAAACAAAAGCTTTCGTTTTTGGTTGGTGTCATATCAGTATTGTTACTCAAGTTGACTACAAGCCGCTAACGTATACGAAAATAACAATAGGACCCACCAGTGTGTATCCTATTTGTTCCCGTGAGTAACTAAGCATCATGCTCTTACCTTGAACAAGTTAAAAAATTTTTTATGATAATAAACATTCTATTCGATAACATCAAAAAGTCAAAATTTGACTTCACCCAGTTAAACAGTATACTAGATACTAGACAGACATTAATTATTTTAGAAAAAAATTCTTCAGGAACGTAAGCAGTAAGCACATATAAAATTCACATCATACAGATTATTATTTACTGAAGATTTGAAACAGATTGACGACAGTTTTCTATACTATTGTAGAAATGGATAGACGAGATTATCATGTTGAAATTATATTTTCTGAATTTCAGTTTTCGGGTAATTTTTTACATAATATATTTATTTTTGCTTTTTATAATATAATATGCTCATATATTTTTATTATTGTATCTTACAGATCCCAACTGGTCGGCATGTAATATCTTAAGGTTTAAGTTTTTACCTATAGAGTAACAGCTTGAACATTAATTTTCTTTGTACGCAAACGCACCTTTATTGCGGTATCACAGCTCAACATTTTAGGCTATTAAATTGATTTATTATAATATTTTCCTCTCGACATAAAAGTTTGCTGAAAACAAGAACCTTTTTCCGCTCGATTCTTAATACTCACTTTACTATTATTCTGTCAAAATTCAGCGTACCTTTATACATCTAACATCAATTTCGTTTACATTGACCATAGCAGCAATTTTTATAAAATGTATCATGTATTTACTTAGTGAAACATATGAACTTTGAGGTCAAGTCTGTAATAGGTATTTATAATTATAAAAAAATATATTTATCATTATTAGATTCAGCTTTAGAACAATAAAACTATTATAAAATAATTAAATTATTAATATTAAATAAACACATGGGCTTAAAAAATATATCATATAGATAAAAAAAATATAGGTACATACATTTTTGTAAATTAACAGTTATAATAATTTTAAAGAACCATTTATCATAATTTAAAATAAAATAAATCAGCTTTAAAAATAACAAAAGTTTATCTTTAAAAACATTTTCTTTGTAGAAAAAATAAAAACCATGTATGATTCAATGTAGACAAAGTAATATGTAAAATTTACAAAATTTACTTCTAAATCAAAGTAAATAAAAAATACAAAAATAGAGTTAGTACTCTATTTTAACCTTTAAATTTTATATAGGTCAATTTACTTTAATAAAACAACAGAGAAAATGAATTCCTCTGATTGTAAAATACAAAAATTTGCTATACATTATGTGGTAGTTAGACGAAAGTTACGGATGGGGGTATGAAGTAAGTAATCTTAAATATTGTAGAAGATAGCTTTTAAAATTTTTGTTTTTAATATTTATTGATAATTTTACAAACAAAATCTTTGATTCTCTAAGTTTCTTGAAAACGTAAGAAAAATATCTTAACATGAAACAAAAATATATTAAATAAGGAATTTAAGCTACATAATATTAAAGACTCATATTTAAATTACAAATTTATAATATTTATTTGTTTTAAATTAATATACTATGTATACATCTGCTAGTTAATATTTTAATAATAATATCACTGAAAAGCATTCAGTGCACCGTTTATTATTAGGATAGACTTTTAATAACGATCAAGTAAAGAATTGAGATATTTTATGAATTATACGTTAACCTAAATAGTAAATTCAAAACCATTGTTAACAACTATTTAACGAAAATAATTAAACTCAGACCAACTAAAATCTATTCAATATTCAATTTTCCAGCCAACAAATATAAATGTTAACAAAACTGATTCAATTTACTAAAACTAAATTGCAGCATACGTGCTTTTAATTACCTTAAGTAAAGGAAACCCTGCCAAATATTAATCCATTATAATTGTGAAGTAATGACTAAATACAATACCAAATAAAATTATAAACAATTATACGCAAATTCTCAATTGCTTGTAGAGTTGATTTGTTGTTTATTACCAAAATATGTGAGACTAATTGATTATAAATAGTACTAAATGTATATTTAATTACACGTTCTAGTGACATTAACGTATCGATTTATTTTGTATATTACGTAGTCTAGCAAAACAATTACTATACATGTATACTTGATGTGTGCATAAGTAAATAAATAAATTAATAATCGAATTAATGTGTTAATAACAACTAAAATAAATATTTATGTAAAATAAGCTTCAAGTATGAATATAATCGTGAACTAGGTTTTCCATTCAACCTAGGTAGTTATTATTATTTGTTAGCAAAAAATTTGTTAGTTTAAACTATTTATAACAAAAATGTTATTTCAATAGTTTCCATAACCTCTAAATTGATTGCCAACTTAAAAAACCATTTAAAATATAAATTCTGCTAAATTATATATTATATTATATTGGTTAAATGTCTGTATTTAATCATGATGAAACTTTACTTCAATTATAGGTATATATTTGTAACGTATCTTGAAAGAAGCGAATAGCGAAAGATTAACATAATTTAAATAAAAACTTCTATATACTTGTTTATAATTGTTCATCCCAATATTTTAGAAACTTAATCTTCCGTTTATATTTTAATAATATTTAATGGCTCATTTTTTTTTCTATTTAAATTTTTTAAATAGAGTTTTTCACGATTTTTACAGCTAAAAACTATTTAGGATGGCTACATTTTATAAGACTAAAATATTTT